TGCAAAGAAGGAAACTATTTTAACTTTATTATTTCTTCATTTCTTAGGCATTTTCAGGTCCAAAAGTACATTGACCTAATCAAACTCATCTAAACACAAAAAATTAATAGCTATCAAAGATTACTTTTATGAGATATTAAGCACTTAACAATCATGTAGAAAAATGCAACTCTTGGACAATGGAAGTTTATAACTATTGTAACAGGATGTTAAATAGCTTGGGTGTAGCACCAAATTCTAGTAAGTGCGGCATTCCAAAGAATCGATAGAGCAGGTTTTGCAAATAAGTTATGCAACTATGGAATCGCTTCACCATAAGCCTTGAAAGGTTGAGCAAATGGAAATCAAAATGGATTTTGTGATTTCTTTGGAGAATTGTACTGTGCCTCCACACACCTCTGCCTCCGAAGCAGGAAGGGGGAGGTAGGGAGGGTCGTTGCTTGCCTCTCTTCTCTGGGTCAGACTCTGGCTGATGTAGGGGATGTGGGTGAGCCAGTAGCTCTGGCAGCAAAAGGAAGGAGATGCAGCTATGAGTTTGGCTGGGGCTTCTCTCCAAGAATCAGGGCAAAGGACATCTCAGGTGGGCTAATGGCAGATGGGCCCAGCCTGGGACTGTTCTAAAATCCTGCCCAAGAGCCTGTGTGGAATGGACTGCAGGAAAACCAGAGACTAAAGGAGAAAACAGCTGGAGGAAAATGTATTGCCTGCATTGCGGGAAGTTCAGGCAAATGTTCCCACACTTCGACCTTGCTGGAGTTAGAAATCTAGGCAAGTACGCCGAGGAAGGGGAAATGCTCAGTAGAAGCAAAGATCCATGCTCTCCTTGCTCAACTTGAGCCCCAGGTGCAGGAGTTTTAAATGCTCATTTGCATAATAAATTGAGACTGTCTTTGTAACTTAAAATCACTGTTAGCAGTTCTATTATTGACTGTAACCAGAGAAGACACAGCACCTGACCTAGTGTCCATACTGGGGCAAATGGGTTATACCCCTGTTAACCAGGCTTAAAACAAACACCAGGAGACAAAATCGCTTTCATGATTACCTCATGAGTCCTGCTTGTTCAGTATACTTACACCATTAAAGACCAACAAGGAGGGGCAAATGGGAGAAGATATTGGTAGATGCCTGTAATAACAGTGCAACCCCGTTATAACATATACTGCTAACTGTATGCTAGTGAGATCCTAATACTGGCATTTGTGTAGAAGCAATTTTATGCTGTTATCTCATACAGCTAGCCCTTGAATGACATGGGCTTGGACTGCACAGGTCCACTTACATGGACTTTTTTCAATACATACAGTACTGTAAACGTATTTTCTCTTCCATATGATTTTAACATTTTCTTTTCTCTAGCTTTATTGTAGGAATACAATATACAGTACTTATTTAAAATGTGTTGTTATTGGTAAAGTTCTGGTCAACAGTAGACTATTAGTAGTTACGTTTTAGGGAAGTTTGTTATGCTGGACTTTTCTGGCATAGGGGTCGGCGCCCCCTAAACCCTGTGGTGTTCGAGGATCAACTGTATATGTCTTGTGATAAGGGAGGCTATGGACTGGGACAGGAAGTGATGTGTCAGAATGAAGAGGTCGCAGTGAAATAATTGGTGAGAGCGGACTCAAACAGCCCTAGCGAAAGTGTAGGCCCTATTGTGGGGGGTCCTATAGTTCCTCCATTCACCATTTTGGGGGCTGCTGAGTACCCAGACTGGGTTTGGTACTGGGGTTTCAAAGCTCTTGTTTTCCCTAGGACCTCACAATTTAGCAGGAGGGACCGAAAACCACGTAACCTAAATAACTCTGCAAGTATAACAAAGTAGGGAATATGAAATGAGGTCTGTTCGGAGTTTATCTGAAAGTGAGGGTTAACAATAGAATTTGGCTCTGAACTAAGTAAGGGTAGGCATTTGCTAGAAAATGAGAAGAATTTAACCTTGCAGATGTCATGAGAAGTTGGGAAAGTGATTCTTAGAAGTGGATAAGCCTCAGAATCATCCAGAAGCTCTGAACCTGAGAGTCTGTCTCAGTAGAAATCCAAAGCTCAAGGGCATCATCCTCCTACCCTCTCAGTTGTGATACCTTAAGTTTTTTGTTTGGGAACTACCAGGAGGGCTCAATAAAAGGATCTCGTTTGGGTTTCGGAGGGCCTGGTTAGCTGTGCTGCAAGAGGTAATGGTTTTGCTGAAATTGGTATACACGGCCCACCACCAAATACAACCAACGTCTCGTGAAATGAATTAATTTTTATTGCTAATTTATAAAGCTTAATATCTTTCTAAAAGAGAAACAAATCAGTTTACATGTAGTAAAGTTACAAGTAGATAGCTATAAATATAGCCATTAGAAAAAAGAACAGCTAAATAGTATGAAGATGAAAGCAGTAAGCAGCAATAAAATTAATACCTACACAAAACTAGCAGTGCAATAAGATTAGCTGAAAGCAGCTTTACATTGAATAAAAAAAAAAACAAAGTTACTTAAATACAGAAATAGCACCTTACAAAAAAGAATTGAGAAATGTAAACTTGGTAGGTAGATTCAAGTATAAAAGTTATACTCCCAACTCTTGTACCAGAATGAAAGGGTTTCACAAACCCTGGACAGTGTAGGGCACACATACCTCCCTCAGTGCCAAGTCAAAGCTGCATTTCCCTAGCAGGATCCCCAACAATTATTTTTCTCTGTTACTAAGTTATACAATGATAGATTCGAGATTGCCATTGCTTCTTCACTACCCCGAATACCCAAGTCTAGCTTAGCAGCTTCGCTACGTTTTCCTGACAGAAACAACCCCTGCATTGTTTTATTTTTATATTTTTACACATCACAAAGCCACATTAAAAAGTGGGCACTGAATACAAAACAAATTGGTTCTCCGTTTTCTGTTGCTGAGTATGGTCACAGAGTCATAATATTCTGATTTATGGGGTTGCTTCTTTACACCCCCCAAGAAACCGTGAATTCTCTGAGGTTTATATGGTCATATCATGAACAGAATTTAAAAAAAAAAGAAAAAAAGGAAAGCAAAGAAGTTAAAATAGTAAGTGGCGAGCGTCCAAAAACAGTGCGGGGAAAAATCAGATTGTGATTTCATCTAAATGTAGACCTCGCAAGTGAAAATATTTTGTGGAAGTTTTTAAGCATGGTGGATTTAAACATGCACATATCCTGTGCGGCTAGGGATGCTGTGTGTCCTGTACTTTCACTGAAAAAGGCATATTTTTGTTTAAGGGAACTCCTCGTATTAGCTCCGGGTAATCGTTACTGGGAGATTGTTGATTAGAACCATAATTTTATCTGTTTAACACTAGAAAAGATTGTAAAAAAAAAAAGAAAAAGAAAAAGAAAAAGAAAAAAATGCCATCTTGTAAACTTCAAAAGTTTAGTGTTGATAAAAAATTTTATATAATAACAAATTTATTTAATCTGGCTACCTACCTCAAGTTTTCAAAAATCTTGTGGGGGTAATAAGGCTAATAGTATTGTGTAGTTAATATAAAGCTACTTTAGTCAGACTCCCAGAGTCTCTTAAATTAATATTTTTATTTCATATAACATTTTATTGGGTCCAAAAATAAAAATAAAATAGAATCCTACACCAAGATTCCAAATCTAAGACAGAAGCTTAAAGAGGAAAGGAAGGAGGGAAGGAAAAAAGGAAGGAGAGAGGAAGGCATTTACTGGAAGAGACAAGATTGAGGTACGTCAATAAACCTAGGAATATAAAGAACTAGTCTGGCTACTTAATGAAATCCTAAAGCAGTATGGTTTAACAAAGGGGTATTGCATAATAGTTTCCAGAATTGTATTCATGCTAGAACAATGAATCCCTGCACTCACCGCTCTTATTTTTCAGAAACGTTCTGAAAAATAACTGGTTTGAATACTCTTGGATACTGAACCTAAGTTGTCCATATTCCCTCTTACCCTTCCACAAATAAAAAAAAAAAAAGCCAAAGGAAAAAAAATAAAATGATCACCTATTGGTCCTATATCAATTTCTATATCATTACGCTTCAGAATTCTACCAAAAGGTCCCATCTAGGTTCCAATTTTCCATATAATCACTTGCTACCATCCTGATTTATTCAATAGACAGATATCCTTCGAAGGCATCCATACCTGATACTCTACAGTTAATATTTAAATTAAAAAAAAAAAAACCCACGGGGCATGTGGTGAAGGAAACTGCACATGGTAGGATTTTTACAAATGAACAGTAAAACCTTAATGTTCACACAGGTCAGCTCTTGGGCTGCTAGCGTTCATCTTGCTTCTCATGCCCAGACAGGGTCAGCACAGTTCATGATAGCAAGGGTGCCATTCACAGTTATTTTGGTCGTAACATTCCGTCTGCATACACATTTATCCACATTATTAGTAGGTTGTAACGTAAGTGCAGGGCAAATTATAGGAAAAAAGTATAAACATTCAAGTCGTCATACCCTGAAAAACATGTATTTTGCTGTCGTAAACTTTTTGCACTAAATCCCATTTCAGGAACAAAATAAATAATACCATAGGATTCACAACTGGAATCGGCTTCCTGATGAAGCCTAAGGAAGCAGTAGCTTTTTTTAAACTGCAGAAAAGAAGTTTCTCTCACCACAGATCTATGCTCAGGGCGAGGGGAAAAACCTGCCAAGAATGCTCACCCTAGTTAAGTGCTAGACAGCTCCCTCCCCCAGTAGAAAAACCACAAGGCTCCAGTAGCCTGCTCATATCGGCTTCCAGCAATAAGAGGATTCTTGAATCGAAACCATAGAAGTCAGTCGGTGCTTTCACTGTGACACCAAGCACAGAGTCTGGACTCTAGCTGATATTAAATGCACAATTAATAACAATTGCTTTCAGGAATAGATGATTCATGATGATGGGAAGTTAACATTAGAACCAGCAGGTGAAAGAGAGAGGACGATGTGTGCCTAAGACCGGACGGTCTGCATCCCGCTTTGCATTCAGTGTCAGGGCATCACCTGGGATGGGGAAGGTCAGGTCGGGGGAGCCCCACCCCCGTCTGGCAAGGCGTGGGATTAGTCAGCCTCGCTGCTGGGGATTTCGAGTCTCCTCTGTGCTGAGCTGGTGTTTCGTGTCAGATTCCTTTCTCTTCTCCTAAGGACAGGGTCTCCCAGGCTGCCAGGCGTCTTGAAAAATGTCTCACGATGTGTGCGTCGGATGCTCTTGGGGGTCATGGGAACTGGGGACTAAAAGAGCAAACACAAACAGGTGAAGTCAAATTGTTCTCGGTCTCTGAACTAAGCTCTTTCTTGACCTGTGTCAGTACGATCTTTGTGCGGTGTTCTTTTCGCTTTTCTGTCCCACTCCTCTGCTTTGTAGCCTCCCCAACACTTCCCACAACCGGAAATTCACTTCTTTGTTTTGTGGGCGGAAAGGCAGCCTAACGAAGAGGCTGGGAGCGTGCCACCAGCACGACTAGCTGGCTGACATGGGCAAACTACTTAACCAAGCTGTGCCTCGGTCTTTTCATCCATACAGTGGGGGTGACAAAGGTGACGGGGTTGTATGAATTAGACAAGATAATATTTATAAAGCACTTTGGGCCATGCTAGGCATACAGTAAGTATGTGCGTCTTGGCTCTTTTTGTACACTTGCTACTATGTATCTTCTTGTGTTAAATGTTGCATATTGATCTCCTTAACGTGCCCTTAAATGGTAGGGACCATTATCCTGTTTACTTTCCTATCTTAACTGGCTGGATGAATGCCTGGCACATGACTGGTGATCAGAAAGCATGTCACATTCTCATCACCTTGTTTAAAAACTAACTTGTTTAATTTCAACATCTAGCAAACTTGGGAACCTCTGACTTATTTGTCTAAAATATTTTGGGCCACAACATAAAACTCTGTCTCCGTGAGAGAAAGGAACAACTCTGGACAATGCCTAAGGCACCAACACATGCTTATTGACGAACTACAAATGGGAGTTTGGAGGAAATACAGTACTGATTAATTAATATTGATTATAAAATTCATATATGTACATTTGTGTGTGTGTGTGTGTGTGTGTGTGTGTACAGCCTCCTAAACACTGCATTTTGAGAAATGACAGATGCTTGGAATCTTTGTGCTTGTATCCAGACTTCTGTTTCCCTGAATTGTTTCTACAGCTGTACAATGAAAATTCAGGGTGTTCTCCTGTCATTCATCTAATGAAATGAAAGCCTGGAGAAATCATTGGAATATTCAGCATTCATCAACAAGCCCCCTGAACCATCCTTGAAATAAATCCCTTTAATTTTAAGGAACATACTGACAACTAAAAAATATTTTTGTCTTCAAAGTACAGCATCTCTAGCCTCCAGTCTCCAACAGAAGCTGGGTAGACCCTGACCTGGAGCCTCTGTACTACTGGCATGAGACGAAAAGCAAAGCTCATGAAATGCAGACTGAACTGACCCCATCGCAGAATGATGACCTTCCTGGGCTCACGGCACAACTCACCTGTTGTAATTTTACTATGGGGACAGGATGCCCCGAGTACACAGGGGATTCAGGCTGGATGACGTTGTGTGATCTTGGCATCTCTGGACTCAGGTTGAGTGAGAGTGGACCCTGGAGCTGAGGGTCTGCGGAGGGGAGTGCTGATGATTTTGGATTAACCATGTTTGCAGGGCCGATGAGAAGATGAGCTGTTGATCCGAGGCCAGGCAAGCCAAAATTCACAGGTCCCGCATTTGGGAGAGCACCGGGGGCCGAGGAAAGTGGCCTGGCCATCGTGGGAGAATAGAGGACGGGGAAAGGGCCCAGCGTCGGAGATGGTAAGACCATGCAAGGAATGCTGAGGGATGGCAGCTGACCTGAAGGGGGTCCCACGGCATGGGGGTTCTGACTGCCAGATAAGAGCACATTGAAACCATTTAATCCTGAAACGGAAGAACAAGGTGAAAGTCAACAGAATGTACGTATGCTTCCAGCACATGTACCCCACGGCCCTTCCAAATGGGAACCCACGGTGAATGAATTCCACCTGACCAGGCCAACTCCCTTCCCTTGCTCTCCCCACCCTACACCGCTTCTCCCCAGCAGTGGACACCACTGAAATCCCCCCCCCACTGTGGGATAATGTGGGGGATGTCAGTGTCTCCAGAGAGAGTCAATTAACATGTGTTCCACTGAATGCAAATTGAAGAGGAAAGTGAACTTGGATGGGAAAAATTTTATCTTTATTTCTGTAAACTTCTAACAAATTTATATTTCCCTCAACTTGGATCACAGGCAACAAATCCAACAGTATTACTAGCACCTTGACATATATATTCCTATAACATTAGAGCTATGGGAGATTGTTACTAGACTGTCAAGCTCCTTACGACTTTGAAATTATGAGAACACTGGAACTACTGTCGGATCTTCTTATTACTATAATTTAAAAAATTTTTTCTAATGGTATTTCAATATATTTGGCCTCCTTTATTATCCTATGTATTTATTAATTCTATGCATTTTTTAAACATTCCGAGGAGGAATCTACAGGCTTTACCATAGTGTCAGCAAAAGCTAAGAATCCCAGTGCTGGGCTGTCATTTCCATTCAGCTGGGACTGAGTCTGTTTCTTGTTTACCAGTGTATCTGCACCTTTGAATATCGTGCTTATATCAAACCCTCAGAAAATATTTGCTAATGGAATAAAGAATGTTTTGTAGATAACTCAATAATAACACCTACCTAACCTATGAAGTGAATGGAAAATTCAGGAAAATCAGTTTAAGTCTCTGCATCGAGAGCAGATTTATGTACACAATGCGTGTCTTAAAAATTAGGGATCTATTATATTTCAGCTTTATTTCAAAACACTGACAGCGTTGGAGTCTTACTGTCAGGCACTAGCACCTGAAGTGTTTCAGATGAATTAAATATAAAATTTAATTCAGTTTCGAGAGTACCACCTGGCACAGGTGCCATCGTGAGTGCTGCTTTACCACGAGGATGCCTTAATATTTAAGTTCATGCAGGTAATGAGTGGCTCTGCTGTCCAGCCCTCTCTAGACCCGGCCCTTGACCACAGTGACACGCTGAGTACCTCTGGATATTCAAGACATCAGCACACTAGCTGTACAAGGTGGCCAAAAGTTTAATGCATTTAAAAAAGATGACTTGCCCTAATTATTTTCATAGTTTCCTTCAAGTTGGCCAAAGTGATAGCAGCCTCTACCTTCATTTCATTGATGGAGGGAAAGAAAGGGCTGAGAGTGAAATGGTTCAGAGGCTGTGTAGACTGCAGTTCACTGATGAACCACTTTGTCAGGTGACATGGAAAAGATGTAAAAATCTAATTTATGACCTGACCACCCCGAGGGGCCCTAAGACACAAGGACCCTCCTTACCGGCCGGCGACTGCACGTAAAGGTACTGTTGCAAAGAGAGCTCTTTGGTGCTTTCATTTTCTTTTGAAGACTTTTCGATCTCTGTGTCTCCCGAAGGATTTCCCCACTCAGAAGAAACGAAGCAGTTGGCTGTGCCCTTTGCCGAAGGCTCCTCTGCAGCTGAGACTTGGGCCTCCATGTGAGTGTCTTCGAGGGGTACAGAGCCGCTGTTACCTGGGATCCTGGGGGAGGCAACGTCTGTGGACTCTGAGGGTTTCTACGCACAGTCAACGAAGAACCGGAAAAGCAAGAAAAATCCCAGTGGTAAAATACGATAGCAGCTTTCTCAACGCAGCTAACACATAAACAAACAGGTCAAAGACCAATGTGTGCCACACTGAATTGCATATGTCCGTTGTTTCAGTCACGCTTATTACAATGGTCTGAAAATCAGTGTCCTATCACGTACTTCTATAGGCTTAGGATTCTTAAGCATAGACATGATGGAGTTTTAACAATGACAGACTGGCCCTGGTGTTTAGACAATAAGATACACTTCAGAGCTACTGACACATAAAGGGTATAGGTCCCAGACTTTGAGTGGCCCAGTAACAACTGCAGGAGGACTGGCCCAAAGCCAGTCTTGGTTATCTAAGACCTATATATACCAGTCAGTCTTTCACTGCCATTCTGCAACCCTAGGCTATATACAAAATTAGAAGGAGTCACTCTGGTGAGAGAAAGGAACAGAAGAGAAAGCATCCTCAGTAATAGACTGATTTCCATGCGGGTGCCGAGTGAACCCAGCACAGATGCCTGCCGTGATCGTGCTTCTGCTTCCTGAGTGTTGGACTGGTCAGATCTTGTTCACCTCTGAATGGCTACGAAGTGAGAGATGTGAACAGCTCATATTTGTGTTCCCTTCGTTTTGTAGCTGGGGAAACGGGATCTCTAAGCTGTGATGAGAACGGACACAGACACTGAAAGACCAGCAGCCATCACACTGCTGACTCTGGAGCTCGCGTGCATCCTGGATTCAGATGATTATGTCACTGACCTCCACTCATGTAAGAAAAAAAGGATAAGCCAAAAGATGGGGAGGAATATACAAACACATGAACAGTGATTGACTCTATGTGGTAGGATTATGTGTCTTTTTTTTTTTTTTTTTACACTTTTTAGCATTTTATGCAAAGTGGGAATTTTATAAAAGTCACTTTTATTACAGTACTACTTTATGGCAAGATTTTATGGCAGAGCCAGTCCTGGGCTTAATTATATAAGCAACACATGAAATACCTCACATTTCAGACTCAATGGCTTATTAGCATCTGTACATCTGTATACCCGAACTCCCTTACCTTGGGCACGACAAGAGCTAGAGGGCTGTCTTCATAGTCCCTGCTCTGTCTTTTAGTGGCTGGCTCCTCCTCCTGAGGCCTCCTCTCCTCCCCAAGGCGCTTCTGAACTGAGGGTGTGGATGGGTCCCTCTCTGACCCCGAGCCGGACCCTGGGGACGGTCCCTCCTGCAGGCTCCCGTACAGCATGAACAGCGAGGTGGAGGGCACGTACACCACAGGCTGGCTGGCCAGCAGGGCTGGTTTCAGGGTCTCCATGTCCGAGGCAGCCGAAGCTGGTGAGACACTCATTCGTCCAGTCAGACTGTTCTGCATGGAGAAGGCCTGCAGGTCCGTTTGGGCCACAGAAAATACTTGGTGTGGTAAAGGATTAGCAGAATATTCTGAGTCAACAGACAAGCCAGGGAAAGGAGCAGCAGGGTCCAGGCTGCTTGACGGAGGCATCACTCTCTTACTGACGAAGGCTTTCCTCCTGCAGTAAAAAGGAACATAATGGGTCCCATCAAGTTACCACATTCCACCAGATTCTCTGCTTTCTCAAAGAGAGACGTACCAAAGCAGAAATGAGATAATGCTGCTCAAGCTGATACTAAAGTGTGTCCCTGAGCACCTACGAGCTGACTCCAGAGCAGATGACCATACAACTTGGACGGATGGTTAGGGATGGGGTGGGTGAGCCCTTGGGGGACTCTGAGCTCAGAGATCACACCGGCTCTCCCCTGCCTCCTCTATGTCTAATAGTTATCAGCACATAGTGACTGCTACCTCATAGCAGGCCCACAAATGCCCCATGACTAACATAATAATTTTACATAATTATAATGATAGTTACCCCTTGCCAGTTGACGAGGGAGGAAAAGTGAGTGACTGAGAGATCAGTGACTGATCAGCCTACTAAAGGTCAACCGGCCTGCTTGAATGTAAGGAAGACGGGGCTCACACTCAGGCACTAAATGACGTTCTGGGTAGATAGCCGAGACTGGACCAGAGGTTCACTGAAAGGACACATCTGGAGTGTCTCAAATCCACTGTGCGACAAATGGAGTGGGCAGTGAGTGAGGAAATAAAGTTATCTACTAAATTATTTTCTGTCATTCTTATTCTGCTCAGAATTCCAATTTTTAGGCACAATTCATTCAAAATTAAGCCCTATTTAATAGATTAAAAACAATGTCTGGGCCTTTTATACAGAAAGATTTCTAAATAACAAAAAAAGTTATGTCATTAGTGTATTTTTGGAAACAAATTAGGAAAACCTGTTTAAGACTCCTTTAAGAAGAGTAAACAGAGGAGAGGGATTTCTTTGAGCCTTTTTGATGGAATCAGTAAGATGTATTTTGCCTTGTCTTCTTGTCCACATGCTGCTGGGAATCATATGGAGGGCCCTGGGCTGCAGAGATGAGTAAAGCTCTCTGGCCGCAGCCCCTCTGAATGAGAAATCACTACTACTCAGCTCTGTGAAGCTCAAAATACCTATACTGAGTACATCCCCCACCGTCCTACCTACCTCCAGTCATCTACCTTCACCCTCCACATCTCCACCAATAGCAGCACCATCATTTGAGACCTAGGTGTCCTTTGTGAGGCCGCTTCCTATCTTGGTGAGTTGTGCTGACTCACTGTCTTACACTGATTTCCACTCCTTTCCATCTGCAGCTGACACAGCTCAGACCCACACCAGAATGGCTGCAGATGGGCCATTCCGCCTGCTTTAAACAGTCATGGTGTTCTCAAGGAAGTCTGCTGTAGGTCTTTACTGTCTGTCTCATAAACCCAAACTCTTCTACCTGGCTTCTAAAATAATATTTTTTTGCCAGTTTGACCTATTCACCTCCAACACCCCGAGTTCTTTTTATGAATGAGGTTTCCTTTTGCTTTCCTATTTGTACAAATCGTTATGGCTAAACTAATCAGTGTATGTCCCCATACTCCCCGACCCTGCCTCACAATCTGTTTCTTCCCAAATCAGTCATTAAAATCCTCTCTTATTCCCACATTAGCATTTCCTCTGCTTCCTCCTATAATATGTGATTTCCTTCTAAATCAGACCCAAAACTTGAGTCTGATGGCCTGGGTTTGAATCCTGGCTCTGTCACTTCTTAGCACTGTGCCCTTGGACAAGTTATTTAACCTCTTCGGGTTTCTGTTTCCTTTCTGTAAAATGAAGATGAGAGTACCAATCTCAAACAACTGTTGTTGTGATTAGATGAGTTACTGTACATAAAACTTTCAGAATGGAACCTGGTGGTTCATAAACAAAGTTAGCTACAGTGATGACAAGTGATTCCAGGAACTATAGTTATCAGTTCTCAGGGCCATGTTAGTAGTAAACTGTCTTTTATCAATGTATTTGTTTTTATTTTTTTCCCCTATAAGCTTTCATTAGCTTAGGGTATAAATTTTTCATACTTTTGTGTCCCTGATGCTACACCCAGCACAATGATGAGCACAAAGGGGAAACCCAGAAAATTCTTAATGTACAAATGGCTGACTTAGGAGCAAGACTGCTAACATTTACATTCTGATAGGTGGCATTTCAATGGAGTCAAAGTTAACACCAGAAAATAGAAAAGAATACACTCAGGGCACCTGGGTGGCTCAGTCGGTTAAGCGTCTGCCTTTGGCTTAGGTCATGATCTTGGGGTCCTGGGATCGAGCCCACATTGGGCTCCCTGCTCAGCGGGGACTCTGCTTCTTCCTCTGCCCCTCCCCTTGTTCACGCTCTCTTTGTCTCTCTCTCACTCTCAAATAAATAAAATCTTAAAAAAACAAAAAAGAATACACTCAGAGTTTTTGAAGACTACTCACTGTGAACTGTCTTCTATTTTCTGTCGGTAAACAGCTGCCAGACTTCCAATTTCTAAGGAGTAGCCACCTGACCCTGAAAAGAAAAATAAAACTCTAACAAAATATGGCAGGGGATTTATACACACCAATGATATACAGCTGGATTCATTATTCACTGCTCAGGGATTATAAGATTATCTGAAATCCATTCCGGTTTTGATTCAAAGAGAGAAATTTCCAGAAGCTAGCTGTTAATGGGGAATTTAGGTTTTATCAATAATTAGAAAGAAAACAAAACAAGTGTTGCTTTGTAAATTTGATGAATGTCTGACATGCATCAAACAGACCAACCTTGGCAAACCAGCTAATCTTTACTGGTGGACTAGGATGAATTTCAGGCATGGGGCCATGTTCACTTCCTGTGAAGCAAGCAACTCTTTTACCCCCAACCATCATTTCACTTCAGGTAAGTGGAAGAAACAGGCAGGGCCTAGAGTCAGCTTATTTTAAAATGCCTGGGCAGGGTGACTGTTACAGGACAACTGACTGATTCCACAGAATATGGAAAGGCAGATACCTTGTTCCTCTTTATAAGGGCTGCTGGGCTCTGAGTTCACTTTCCTCTGGATCCTCTCAGAAGCCTGAACTGTGCTGAAAGAACCATGTCGAGCCAGCCTCTGTTTTGCACAGACTTGAATCTGGCCATATGTTTCTCTTTTCAATTCTGGTAAGACAGATGCAGAAACATCCACTAGTTCTTCATCTAAATAAATGAGAGAATTGGTAGTGTTGTTATATAGCTGTAATTCTGGATAATTTTAGTCTTTTAAAGATATAGCTTTGAGAGCCTGTAATTGTAATGGAGCTACTCTATAAATTAAAAACTAAGACAATCAAAGGAATTTTATGAGCCTTGTCTCAAACCCCAATTTCTTTTGATGTACTAATTTTTTAAGAGTTAGTAAAAGACTATAAAGTGAAACTGAATCCACATATAATCTAAAATTATCTAAACTGCAACAAAAATAGAACAAGATGTTCTCCAACCCAAATTAGAACAGACCTGACATTTCAGATGCTTTCTCTGGGCAGAGATATCAAAGGAAAACCCAACCATGCTCACACCAACACACAGATTTAAAGATTTTAACACTAATTGAGATCAGCCTCTTAGGCCACAGCTCTACTGCAATAAGAATCTCTACTTTCTATTATGTTGCTTTATTATGTCTTTCTTATGTAGTAGGAGGCTCAGTTACTAAGTGACCAAGGGAATAAGGTCAGCAAAAGCCCCATGGTTGAAATGCTGCAGAATAGTGAGAATAGAAGCGTTAAGAGGCCCATTTTATGCTTATGGTAGCCTGTGTAAAATCAGGACAGAATTTTCTAGGTAGAACCAGGCCTATTTTCTACAGAGAAATAGTTCCCGTTGCTCAGTCATTCCTACCCTGTTCATCTGTTTGATTTTTCTAAGATCAAAGCATGCATGTTTTAATTACAAGACTAATTTAATAAAAGGAAAGGCTCAGCTAGACTTACATTTTCTAAAACACACAAAAATTTTTAAATCACTTTTACAGTTTTTTCTCATAACAAAACCCTCCAAAATGCTCTTTCTAGAAAATAAAAAATTACAAAATCAAAAAGAAAATGGGTCAAGATGGTAACAGGGAATACATTTACCCTCCCGCCTTAAACACAGTTATCAGACAAAACAAATAAAACAATGGCTCTCAAGACACTGGACAGTAGGAAAAAACAGGCAGTGATCCTCAGAGATAGTAATCAAATAAGGTGAGACCAATATTGCCCTCACTTACTGCCCAGAGAATATTTCCTGGTTGGAGTATAGGGAAGGGAACCTGGAGAGAGATTGGAAATCTCCCCAACTCAAGATTGGAGCTGGAAGCCAAGGCAAGCCAAGGCAGCTAGAGTTTGCAGGGCAAAACTCCAGGGAGGAGAGCCATACCAAAAGAATGCTGGAGATCTGCAGAAGGTTCCCCCCTACCTCGCCCCACTTAAGTGTTTAGTGGAGTACTCATGCATGTGAGACTACCCAAGGTCAGGGAAGGAACCACTTAAAAGGAGAAGAAGTAATAGTGTTTGCAGCTCATCCAGGGCTGGGAATAGTGCCTATTGCCAATAGCCAGCATGGAAAAATCTCCTAATTCATGAATTACTGGTTAGAATACTAAAAAGGGTATTATTGCCTCAATAGTGAGGGTAATGCACTGAAAATGAACTTCTGATGATCCTGTCTACCAAAGCTTAAAAACAAGACCTGAAAGGTTCACTGTTTCCAAGCAACTTCACTGCATTGCAGAACAAAGCTGAAGAACATTTTTAGAAATACTGAAATATCTAGCACTCAACAGTATGTAAATCTCACTGTCTGGCTTACAACTAATTATTATCAGGTACACAAAAAAGCAGGGAAATACAACCCACTATGAGGACATAAATCAAGGAAATGGATTCAAAAGTGACACAATGATAGAATTAGTGGACAGGCACATTAAAACAGGTATTATGATTGTATTCCATGAATTCAGGAAACCAGAGGAAAGATTAGGTATATTAAATAAAGACACTGAAAAATATAAAGACTCAAGTTAAACTTCGAGTGGTTAAAAACCATAATGCTGGAGAAGAAAATACAGGGGATTAATGGCAGATTAGACACTGTAGGAAAAAATAGTGAACTTGAAGACGTAGCAATAGAAACCATCCAAAATGAAGCACAGAAAAGAGAATGAAAGAAACAAAACATCAGAAAACTGTGGGATAATTTCAAACAGTCAAATATAAGCATAATTGGAGTCTCCAAAGAACAGAAGAAGGGAAAGAAAAAAATAATTGAAAAAATAAGGGCTGAAAATTTGTCTGTCAATAAACACTTCCAACACATAGATCCAAGAAGGCCAACAAATCCTAGTATAAGAGACATGAAGAAAGGAACATCAAAGCACACATACCAAATTGTTTAAAACCAGTCAGAAAGAAAATCTTAAAAGCAACCAGAGAAAAAGATGCATTACATATGGAAGAAGATGATGAGAGATTTCTAACCAGAAACAATCTAAGTCAGAAGACAGTGGAGTGACTTCTTTAAAGTACTGAAAGAAAAAACCTTCATCCTAGAATCCTTTACCCACTGAAAATATCTTTCAAAAACAAAGAAGGGTGCACATTTCCAGTTACATGATAAGTACTAGGGATGTAATGTCCAGCATGATGGCTATAGCTAATACTACTGTCTGTTACATTCGAAGTTGTAAAGAGAGTAAATCCTAAGAATTCTCATCATAAGGATGAGAATAAGGAAAATTTTTTTTCTCTTTTCATTGTATTAAATATGAGATAATAGATACTACCTAAACTTATTGCAGTAATCAATTCACAATATATGTCAAATCATTACACTGTACACCTTAAACTTACATGTGATATAAATAAGCATATCTCAATAAAGTTGGAAAAAAGGCAAAATAAAGATGCTTTTAGACACAGAAGAGCTGGAAGAAAGAATTTATCACTGACAGATCTGCACTATAAGAAATGTTAAAGTCCATTAAGGCAAGAAAAACGATACCAGATGGAAAGAAATCTACATCTACAAAAAGGAATGACAAGTACCAGAAATGGTGACTACTTGGGTAGATATCAATTTTTTCCCTTATTAAATCACTTTAGAAAACAATAGACTATTTAAAACAAAAGTGATAACAATGCATTGTGGGGTTTTTAACGTACAGAGAAGTAAAATATTTGGCAACAACAGTACAAAAGTCAGGCAGGGAGAAATGAAAGTATGCTATTGTAAGGTTCTTATACAATATAAACAGTATAATATCATTTGAAGGTGGCCTGTGATTTTTTCTTGCAAACTCAGTAATACCCTTTTTGATTTTGGCCTAATTAGATTTTCATTCCTTTATTTCTCCAGAAAGGGATTCTCTAGTGTTTTCTATGCTTTTTTCAAGCCCAGCTAGTATCTTTGTAATTGTTATTCTGAATTCTAGCTCTGACATTATACTAATATCCATATTTATTAAGTCTCTGGCAGTTAGTACTGCCTCTTGTTCTTCTTTCTGGGGTGAGTTTTTCTGTCTTGTCATTTTGTCCAGAGAAGAATAGATGAATGAGAGAGCAAAATACAAAAATATTGACCATGACCCCAGCAAAATATATTCTAAACAAACCAGAAGAGATCAGAAACCAAAAAAGAAGAAAAAAAAAAAAAAAAGGGAAAAAGCGAGAATATAATCAAACAGGAGGACAGAACAGGGTAATATACTAGGTTCTGGGTGTATTTGGGTCTGCTTTTTAAAAGAAACTGGATCCCAAAATTATAAAAAAACAAAAACAAAAACAAAAAAACAAATATATATATATATATATATATATACAAAAATAAAATTAAATACAACGAAAGGAAACCAAAAATGAAGAATATATATATATGTAAATGTAAAAATGAAAATTAAAAAAGACTTAAAAGAATTAGTAAGGGGTGCCTGGGTGGCTCAGTGGGTTAAGCATCTGCCTTTGGCTCAGGTCATGATCTCAGGGTTCTGGGATCAAGCCCTGTGTTAGAGTCCCTGCTCAGTGGGGAGCCTGATTCTTCCTCTCCCTCTGCCTGCTGCTCCCCCTACTTGTGCTCTCTCTCTATCTCTCTCTTTGTCAAATAAGTAAGTAAAATCTTAAAAAAAAAAAAAAGTTGATAAGAAACTAGTTGAAAGGGGGAAAAAAAGGAAAAAGAAATGTTAACTGAAAGATTAAAGAATAATGAGAGAAAACCTTGAACCATATACCATCTTCCCCTAGCGCTACAGTTTTGCAGGTCTGTGTGATTGGTAAACTTGGTCTTAGCCAGATGTCCTTGCTGATCTTCTGGGGGAGGGGTCTGTTGTGTTGATTCTCAAGTGTCTTTGCCCCAGTGGAATTGCATGACCCTTGCGGTGTGTCAGTCTAAGTAAGGCTAAGTAAGTTGCTCCGGTTTGCTCTCTGTGGCTTTTGTTCCTGGAAGGGTTTCTGCTGCTTTAGAGGATGGGAATGAAGAAAGACAGTGGCCTCCACTCTTCAGTGGGCCCTCAGGGACAAGCAGTGCATCACTTTTGTCTCCCTGGTTTCTGTCCACACTCTGTGATCACCCAGCTTGTGACCAAGTGTTTTTATTTCAGGCATGTGACCCCAATTTGAGTCTCCAAACTCTGCAATGTGCAACTATGCTGCTGCTCCTGGGGGGAAGGGAGTGGGATCTCAGTGCTGTTTGCCGGGCCCCTGCTGGGAATGGTCGCCTGATTGCACAGCAGCAGTTCATGGTTTATGGCAACACGGAGCTGAAAGCCCATTCTTTGGCTCACAGACGGCAGCTGGCTTCCTCACTCTGAATCTTGGGAACTCTGCAGCACTCAGACACCCTCATTCTTTCTGTGACCCCAGGGGATCCTGAGACCACACTGTCCCACCTAGCATTCTGCCCTGCTTCACCACCCGAGCACCTTCTAAATGTCCCTCACTTGAGCAGGGATGTCCCTCACCTGAGCAGACTTCTAAACATTCTGATTCTGTGCTCCACTGCTGTCACTTTCCAGTAGCTGCTAATGGAGCACCCCCCCCCCCGCCATGGTTTATCTTCCAACATGTCGCCTCAGCTTCACTTCACACCTCCTACCTTGCAAAAAGTGGTCACTTTTCTATTTGTAGAATTGTAGCAATTATTTTCTTAGATCTTGGGTTGAGTTTACAGGTGTTCAGATGGATTTGATAGCTACATAGCTGAATTCCAGAGACCAGATGAAACTAGAAAGAGTCCCCTCTTCCTTCACCATCTTCCTCTAAGTCTGTAAATTGAAATTGAAATTATAAAATTTTTCTGTGACTATAAGGCTTTAGTTATCTATGCTTTTTAGTACATAGTTGATTAAAAAACACAAATATATTACAAATGCTGATCAGTAATTATTGAACAATATAAAGTAGTCCTTTATGTGGAAATCTGCAGCTTAGATGGGGCTTTAAAAAGTTAGTTCACTCATTTCATGAAGAAAATTCATTATTGCTAGAATGAGAAAATGATCAGCATCAATACTATATGTATTTATCTTTTTTTTCCCCCAGTTGTAAGCCTCAAGAAATTTCACTCACAGAAATAAGTTAATGGGACTGGAAGAAATTTTATTAGGCATTGTAACCCAATTCTTTAACTGATTTCTGAGGTACTTGCCAAAAATGACATAGTACTATTTATATATTTATTTACTTACTTATTTTAAGAATCAGTGACAACTGGCTTAGTTTTGCTGCAATGATGTTGACAGCAACAGAATTGGAAGCTCCCTGACCTGCAAAAGGATTTGGTACCCAGTCACTAGAATTATTTACATTCTCAGCATAGATACCAATATTTAAAATAATCTCGGTATGGACATCACAGAAGTTAGTTTTATAGACTTTATACTCAAAACAGTGCACCTCTGTAATCTTTGGGTGGAATGTAAACTCTTTTTCTTTAATGGGAGAAGGAGCTTAGGAAGAGGAGATGGGAACTTGTCATTTCAAAATAATAGTTGGCCAGAGATTACCAAGGCTATCAAGTTTATCAGTTTTAGAAATTATCAAGATTATCAGTTATGATATTTTAAAATGAATACAAATGAAATCTGAAGATGGAAGGGAAGCTGATTCCCTTAAAAATTATTTGAATATATACCTATCCCTTGAAAACTCTTTACACATCCCAGTTTGAAATCACTGGTTTATCCCCAAATCCACTGCTTGATGATGCTTGCCTGAAGTCTGATTCCAAATTGGGCTGTGGCAGTCGAGACTGATGTGGGCATAGTCAAGCATTCAAAGTGTTAAATTAATTGACTTTAAATAACTCTTCCTTATTTTGTTTCATCTTCTGCATTAAAAAGAGAGAGAAATGGTGTTCTGAGAAGTTAAGAGTGATTTTGAAAGCCCATGCTATATCGATTCCTCATTTATTATGTTTTTTAAGTTGTGAATTTAAAAACTAAAACTAAGTTTTAAAAATCAAATTTAAAAATTAAAAATTAAGCTGACTAACTGTAAATCTCAGCAATCTGAGAACAAGTTTTATTTATGCTCACGCAGTATGGTCATTGTAGGTGGGCTATAGCTCTGCTCCTTGCTTAGGACTGTGAGAGCACAGCTCTTCCTTGGGACATGTGGTTTCTTAGCAGAGGGAAAAACAGGCCTAGAAAACCCTGAGCAGTCTCTTAAAACTTCTGCTCCAAAGGGACCCTCATCACTTCTTCTGTATTTCTTTGGAAAAGTAAGTGTAGAGCCTATGCTGAGTCCAACACTGATAAGGATATACAGACTTCCTCCAGGAAGGGGCAGCAGATATCCTGACTGATGTTATAAAGTCCTGCACCCATGAAAACCCCAAGTCCAAGAACACTGACTTACAGTAAAGAGATGGTGATCATTTTCTAAAATTGTTATATTAAAATATAAATATATAAAATATAAAAATATTTATTTTAGTTTTAAAATTACAAATTATTTCCAACATACAATAGAGATTAACATAACAAAAATGGGAGTACTTATATCCTACAATTACCAAATGTTAATATTTGCCATATTGACTTCAGATCCCCTTGTTAAAAAAGAAATAGGGGCACCTGGAGGCTCAGTTGGTTAAGGGGTGACTTTTGGTTTAGGCTCAGGTCATGATCTCAGGGTCATGAGATGGAGCCCTGCGTTGGGCCCAGCTCTTGGTATGGAGTCAGCTTGAGAGTCTCTCCCTCTCCCACTCCCCTCCTTGCATGCATGCTCTCTTTGTCTCTAAAATAAATAAATAAATAGAATCTTTTTTTTTTTTTTTTTTAAGATTTTCTGTATTTATTGGAGAGAGATAGCACAAGCAGGGGGAGCAGCAGGCAGAGGGAGAGGGAGAAGCAGACTCTCCACTGAACAAGGAACCCCATGCCAGACTCATTCCCAGGACCCTGGGGATATGACCTGAGCCGAAGCAGACACTTAACCAACTGAGCCACCCAGGAGCCCCTAGAATCTTTTTTAAAAGAAGAAATAAAACATTGTAGATGAAGTTGAAGCCCACCACCAACCTCTTCTCATTCCTCTTTTAAGCCCCTACCTTCTAAGAAATAACTATCCTGATGTGAGATTTATTATATTTATTATATTATATATATATATATAAAATATATATTTATTACAAAAGTGCTTTAAAAATATACATAATGTAAAATGTACATGTCTTTAGCATTTTACTCTTTCTACTCAATATGGTAAATCTTAGATGTATCTGTGTTGATGCGTGCAGATTTAGCTATTTCATTGAAAGTATTCAGTACTATGTGATAATGAATATGTCACTATCCACGTTGTTGGAACTTTGCTTATAGCTTCTTGTTGTTACAAAAATGGAATGACCAACACCTTTATGTGTGTTTCTGTGTATAAGACAAGAGTTTCTCTAAGATTTATGTCCTCAAAACGATCAAAACACTTCGCTAGAGTGGCCTTGCGGGGTTGAAAGGGCTAATTGCTTTTGCATATCGAGTTGAAGCTTAGAGATGGCAGCTCCGAAGGGAAGAATGAACAGACATGAGGCCCAGCGTTACCTGAAACCATCTGGGCAGAGAGTCAGAGACAGCCTGACAAGACTTCTCTGGGCCCCTGAGACACGCACAAAGCAGGGAAGACCATCGCCCTAGAGAACTAGAAGTTTTCTTTGCGGCTGCCCATGCTGTGTTGAATGTGGGCCGAAAACCTGCCTGTGGCTGGATGAGGAAGACCCAGTAAGAGATACCAGGGAGGTCAAAGTGGGTCTAAGGAAGTCACAGTGGATGTTGAAAGGGATAGGAGGGACCAGAGAGCAGAAGGAAAAATGTACATCTCCACCGAGGTCAGTTTGAAGAGTAGAGGACTGAGAAGCCATTTGTCCTACCCCAAAATGCAATGCTATGTGGCTGCAGGGAGTCGGGGAGGACCATCGTGAAATTGCTCTGTAGGCCCGCATCTACTTCCTGCTTATTACATTCTAATGGAAGCCCGGTTTTGTTCAAGGGCCCACCTCGGCCCCTGCAGAGCCCCCATGCTTCAGTTACAGGGGCAGGTCTCAATAGAATAAAGGTAATCCTGTACCCCATGCTGATGATCTGTCTTGAAATGGACATGTTAGGCAATTTGGGCCAATGATGAGGAGGGATTTTCTGGAGGATCTCTGCAAAATTTCTTTCTTACTCCTCTGGAGGTGTTTCAAAGATATGTTTCTTCTCTTTAAACTTGGTTTGTGTGGAACTGTAATTGCTGCAGTCTGATAGAATTGGCATATGGAAAAAAGAACCAAAGGGATTGGCGTGAAAAAGCTGGAGTCGTCCTGCCTCTAGACTTCCACTTGGTGCTTTGTAAGCACCAAGGCCCCTTGTTGTTGAAGCCAGTCTGAAATATGTGTTGTTTTTTTAAAAGATTTTATTTATTTATTCATCAAAGAGCAAGCACAAGTAGGAGGAGCAGCAGGCAGAGGGAGAAGCACGCTCCCTGCTGCGCAAGGGGCTTGACGTGAAGTTCGATCCCAGGACCCTGAGATCATGACCTGAGCTGAAGGCAGACATTTAACCCGCTGAGCCACCCAGGAGTCCCTGAAATATGTTCTTAAGTACTTGCCACTACAAGTACTGCTTCGAGAGAGTGGCAAGAAGTGTGTGGTGGGGGAAGGGAACTGAATTGACCGGTATTATTCTGAATTTGCTGAAATTAATTTGTGCCACAAGGTAGAATGAAGGCTTAAAATAGAAATTAATTTCAATCACAGAATCTATACAAGCAAAAAAAATAAAAATAAATAAAAAAAGAATATATACAAGTAGTCCTTGCTTTACACAGTTTTGACAGGCACACGTCAGTTACCATGGTTTAGTTAAATAACACCATTCTCCCCGCCCCATAGCATGGCTCAGATTTCAGTTACTCTGATAGGATATGCTATATTAACCTTGAGTAATTGCATAAAGTACAAACTTTGCTGCTTCAGCCCACAAATCACTACACAAAAAGCAGATGCCCATCAGGACCAACGTCCAGTGTCGCTCCTTACCAGGTCTGTTGTTCACACAGAGTTCTCAGTTCACACAAACAGCAAAGCTTAGTCATGTTGCATCTTCTTCCCAATGATAAGAACACATGACTTTTTAATAAAATGAATGCTCAAAACAGAGAATTTGTCAGCAAAGATGAAAGTGAGGCAAAGAAGCAGAGAGGGATAAGGCTTGAGTTAAACTTTGAATCAGATATCCACGTAGGAGGAAACGGCGGGCAGTGTTGGTGTTGCTACTGATGACAGTGTCGATGTCAGCACTTGAGAGATGCTGGATATAGTGAAGGTGAGCTTATTGGCATAAGTGACAATTGTGGGGAAAGGTTGGAGGTGCTCTGGGTAAGGGCTGCCTGCAAAAACTTTACATTGCGTGAACTCTTGGAGATAGTTTATGGAATTAAAAGTACAAAGGGGGTGCTTCGATGGCTCAGTTGATTGGGCATCTGCCTTCAGACTCAGGTCATGATCCCAGGGTCTTGGGATTGAGCCCCCACATCGGGCTCCCTGCTCAGCCAGGAACCTGCTTCTCGTCTCCTCCCTGCTTGTGCTCTGTGTTGCCATCTCTCTGTCTCTCTCTCTCAAATAAATAAATAAAATCTTTAAAAAAATAAAAAAAAAAAAAGTAAAAGGATAAAATTTGGAAGATGACCCAAACTTCGAAAGGAGTATAATAATCCAGCAAGCTATAGGAAAGATGATCAGTACTTATCTCATTTATATGATAAGAAGAAAAAGCACTGCTCAAACTATTCTTGATACATTTTTTAATGATTTCTGTATTTATTTTAGGGGGAGTGGAGAGAGAGTAGGGAGAGGGACAGAGGCGGAAGGAGAGGGAAAAGGTCTCAAGCAGACTCTGTGCAGAGCTCAGAGCCTGACCTGAAGATGGATCCATGATCTTGAGACCATGACCTGAGCCAAAATCAAGAGTTGGATGCTTAACCAACTGAGCCCCACAGGCACCACCTTGACGTTCTGATGTTTTAGATTACATATTTAACAAATATTACTTTTACTATTTTTTAATTTCCCTAAATATTTATAGTCAACAGTAAGGGAGTTTAGATGTTTTGATAGAGATATTTATTTATCTATTTATTTGTGGGGGTAGGGGAGAGGCCAGAGGGAGAGAGAGACTCTTAAGCAGCCTCCATGCCCAGCGTAGTGCCCAATGTGCAGCTCAATCTCACGACCCTGAGATCATAACGTGAGCCCAAATCAAGAGTCAGATGCTTAACCAACCTAGTACCCGGATAGAGAATTTTAAAGATGGCAGAACAATTACAATTATGCCTCCATGCTCATTTGCACCTCTGCTCTCCTCCAACCCCCAATGTTTCTGTCCTCTACCTGGCAATCTCCTATGTATCTTCTGAAACCCAGTACAAATGCTGAGGTTACTTTGCACAGTGTCCACTTGCTGTGCAAAGAGAGCACTGCTTGTGTAATAAAGTCCCAATGTTCTGCACTCCCAAGTTAGTGATCTGTAAAATTCACACATGCTGAAAACTGGATAGTTTTGTACAGATGACCCCTTCAACATCTTGTTAAAAGATTTTGCCTTAGCTTGATAGGTGTGGCATGGCAAAGGGACAAAGATGCTGGATAGGAATATTTGGAGTCTTGGGTTTTGTCCTCAACCTTGTAGTTAAGTAGCTGTATAACCCAGGGTAATTCACTTAACCTCCTTGTTTTCCATTTCTTCTCTGGAAAATAGGAGAGTAAATAAGATGATGTTTAAAGTTCCTTTTGGCACTACATTTCTATAATTCTGTACCATTATTAAAGATAGATGGCGGGGGGCGCTTGGGTGGCTCAGTGGGTTAAAGCCTCTGCCTTAGGCTCAGGTCATGATCCCAGGATCCTGGGATTGAGCCCCACTTCGGGCTCTCTGCTCGGCGGAGAGCCTTCTTCCCCCTCTCTCTCTCTACCTGCCTCTCTGCCTACTTGTGATCTCTGTCTGTCAAATAAATAAATAAAATCTTTAAAAAAATTCTTTAAAAAAATAAAAATTAAAAAAGAGATAAAGGGGCTGACCTCCCCCCCAACACACACTCACCCAAGAGTACTTCCTTTTGCATAGTAATGGTAATATTTATTGAGTGAATGAATGATTAGCATGACTTCAGTGGAGTAGAGCTGTGTATGATCTGATGCTGGTTAGAAGCTCTTGTTTCTGGGGCCTGGTTGGCTCTGTCAGTTGAGCGTCTGACTTTGGCTCAGGTCATGATCCCAGGATTCTAGGATCAAGTCCTACATCAGGCTCCCTGCTCAGCGGGGACTCTCTTCTCCCTCTGCCCGCTGCTCCTGCTGCTTGTGTGCATACACTCTCTCTCAAATAAGCAAATAACATCTTTAAAAAAAAAAAAAAAGGAAGAAGAAGCTTTTGTTTCTGGTACTCACCATTTTCATGTTGTGGATGCGCTTAGAGCTTCGCCGATCTCAGGGTGCACTATCATGAAGCTGCAGCTTGATTCATCTACTCACTGAGCATGGTGCTAGGCTCTAGATAAGAAAAGCTTAATTTCTGCCTGGGAGCGTCTCACGGTGTGGTGGGGGAAACCAACTCATTCTTCCTGAGAAAGGGACATTTGAACTGGATTTTGGAAGATGCATATGCAACAGCCCAAGAGAGAAAGAGGAGTGGGAACAGGAGTTGGATCTTTTAGGAAGAGAGGGTGGGTGGGCAAAGGCATGGATGCAAAAGGGAATATGAGGAATGTGGACGCAGAGAGTGACATGATGGACAGAGGTGGCTGGAAGAGAAGAAGGGAAGAGTGGTGCAGACAAGACTGCTGGGTTTTGTGTGGAAATTAGGAAACATTCTAGGTATTTCCAGCAGGAAGTTTTTAATACAGGAATTTGGTGCTTATAAAATCACTGAAGGCAGGGAAAACACAAGTGTTCAGATTATGTCACCATGGCTGCTACCCAGAGCTTGCAGGTGGTGCTGTTGGTTGGGAACAACATGAAACCGTGGCCAGGATCACGGCTGGTACATGGTCTTGGACTAGACAGTAGCATCAAGTCTGGCTGCTGCAGAGTCTCAGTGTGCGGCAGTCTATGCTTGAGGAAGAACAGCCCCAGCTGCTTTTCTCTCTACCAAGTCCTGCACGAGAGGATTTATAACTGACAGAATCCAACTGGGACCTGGTAGCAAGGGGATCTGAGAAATTTAGTTCCCAAGCTTTCAGAACCTGTGATAAAGAGCTTGCAAGAGGAGTGAAATGAACATAAGGGTCAATAGACCATTTCTAGGGTCTAGAGCTGTGAGGGGAAGCTGGGGCCAGACTGTGAAGGGACCAGAGAGCCATGCTTTAGGGTCAGGAAAATGCTTCATGGGATGCTCTTGAAAGCTCAGAAGCAAGGTTATGACAATTCAATTTATTTTATAAGCATTGGTGGGCTTGGTAGAGGCCATTCTTTTGGACTAAAAAAGATGGGCCCCTGGGTGGCTCAGTTAGGTGAGCATCTGACTTTTGATTTCAGCTCAGGTCATGGTCTTAGGGTCCTGGGATTGGACCCCACATTGGATTCTGTGCTTGGCTCAGAGTCTGCTTAGGATTCTCCCCCTCCCCCCCATATCTCCCCCTTCTCCTTTACATCTCCCCCTCTCTGCCCCTCCCCTTTCTTGTGCTTGCTCTCTCTCTAATGAATAAAATCTAAAGAAAATAATAATAAACTAAAAAAAGAAGAAACACAGACTATAGTATTATTTATTCAACAAGTCTTAGGTACCTAGAGCCATGCAATGAAAAAGCCTTCAAAGGTGTTTTTGTTTTTGTTTTTTCTTTTTAGTGATTTGTGGTAATTCATTCTCCAGTGTTCTTCCCCATTTTTAATTGGGTACACATTTTATGGAAGACACTGTGAATACAGATATAAATAATGTATGGT